AACGTAACAAAGCAACGGTTCTATCTACTCCAAGTTTGTTTCTGAAGACTAAACCAACCTTGAAGAAAAACGTTTTGACGAAATGTCATTCTGAAGTCAGCGAATTAACCTTTCCCTGAAAACAACGTCTCCGAAAACGAGGCTCTGTAGCCAAAGTGACGTAGTTTCCGGAAGGGTGTCGGTGGCGTTAATCCCTGCATGTAAAGGCCGTTTTCCACTAGGCGAATTTTTTCGCGCGACGCGAAGCGAAAACCGAAATCCGGCAACGTGATTGGTCGGCGAAAAAATTCGCGGCGAAAAAGTAGGATCGCTTCCTACTTTTTATCTGTTCGCGCGAATAAATTCGCCTAGTGGAAAACGGCCTTACGCATTAAAAATTCTGAGAAAAGCCAGAGAGTACGTCACATGACCACTGACCACAAGCTGTGGGAGGCTGGGAGCGTCTTGGCCACAGTTATTTGGCTTGTATTAAAAACACAAGATGGACCGAAAGTTATGTCTTAGTTTTTTGGCTCTAGTTCTCTTCATTAGAGAGGCTCATCTCACTTATTATCCCACCGTCTTTTGGACTCCGACAAACTGCAGGTAAATAAGCGTAAAATCAAGACAAGAGCTTATTGTCATGTCCAAATATAGGATTCCATTCACAGTTGATCGATAAGCGAGAATGTATTTAGTAGTGCCATAATGGCTTACTTTTACTTTGAAAGAATTTATATGTAGAAATTGTAGTTATGTTAGTATTCAACAAATTACATACTAGTAAAAGAGTCGTTCATACGGTGAACGTATTAACGTTTCCTGTTTCTATGTCGACAACTTGTTTGAAAAGTAGTTTCTTTATAGCAGTAATAGCACACGTTTTAATTTACAAGCCAAAGTAAAGTTGTTAATATATTCTACGAACCGTCAAGCTAGGAAGGCTTCCGCTTGCCCTATGGGCTTGCCACATATGAACTTACATTACTGTACAACCAAACTATAAAATACTTTTTACTTCCGTATATCGAATTACTTTATAGAACTGTTTACCTATTCAAAAAAAAGCAACTAAAAGCTCTAAATATTGTCAGTCTGTAACTTCAATCTATTAACCAAAATTCAGAAAAAATAATTAAATACTATTGGCACTAAGAAAGGATATAGTTCATAAACAGACAGATCTGTCTTTGTTTACTATGAAACCCTTCATGCATTATAGACAGTTACGGAAAAGCTAACCAGGCCAATATACACAGATCGAGTTGTTTTTAAGCCCGGTTCAAACTTGTTGTTCATGTTAGTCTAACACCACATGACTGTTGCTCGGTCTTAGATGGATCACAGATTATGAATCTGAATTGACAAATGTTGGCAGAGAAAAGATCATGTATTGTACGTGTTTACGCTAGAAAACTGATCATGCGTTGGACAGATGATGTGTCGTGGCAGAAGATCTGATCAAGATGATCCATCTCATGTTCTAGTATAAATTGTGCTATACTTGGGTGTAACATATGTTGCATTTGTTTTGAACAGTATGTTCGATAATGTAGGCGGATATTCGCAAGTTTGGTTGAAGGCTAAAAACTAACTTTGGCATTTAAAACAAAGGCTTTTTAGCTTGAACTTAGTAGCAGCACTTGAGTCAAGTTTAAATTTATTCACAATTTTCATTCAACATGTTTCCTGTTGTTGACGAATAAATTATATTGGATGGCGTTGGATTGTTTTAAGTCACAGATATATAGGCCTTCGTAAAAGTAGCCAAACTTTCGCCACTAACCCGACGAAGCTAGTGCCTTTGCTCGCAGCGTTGAAGTTCTCCTTGTATTTTTCAGGTAGTTGCATCCCTATTAATACGTAGCTTTCTTGTACATTATTGACACTACCTGCACTGGCATAAAACTGTTCAACTTCCTAAAATAGATATTATGTCACATGGTCATGAAAGTTTCATATTAATGCATGAAAAATAAAGTATGAAATATTAAAGATGGGAAGTGATTCAGCTCTCATACATTATGCATGTTAACTTTATAGAAGACAAAACACCCACAGTCCCACGCATTTAAAAGTTTGTCATAGCTATTTATAGAAACCATGAATGTTAATAAAATGGCAAATAAATGCATGCCCATATATGTTTGGTAAAATTGGAGATCAACATCCAAATCCTTGCTAAACTTCTTAAATATAGTTGGGTGTTGAAGCTAGGATTTGTGGTTGTGGGTTCAATTCTTGCATTTTTGTAGAACAATATGTCCAAAGGAAGGCATAAATATATTTGTTTGGACTTGTAATGTGCTACCCAATTCGAAATATTGTCTACATTGTATAAGACTTTCATTTATCTCTTTTCAACAGATTTAATCTAAACAAACTAAATGGAGAAGGATATTTTATCAAAGTCAAATATTTCAGTAACATGTACTTCATGTGTCCACATATCTCAATTTGGGCGGGCAAAAGTGACATGAGTCCCCATAGCAGGATGATGCATGAGAACATCATACTGGTGGACGAGGAAAGTTATAAGTCATGCTCCATAAAGAACGTAACACATGCAAAAACACTTTTAAAATGTGATGCTGATCCAGTGGACGATAGTGCAAAATATTCCAAGGAGCATTTTGCAAGCGTCCAGGCTTCTCCAGACAAGCAATGTTATAACATGGGACAGCATTACTATTTTATATGTAAGTAGATATGCAGCAAGTAAGTGTTTTTTGCAAAAGGCAATGCACATACTCAACATACTGTATATACTGTACACTTGTAAACTGTACGTCAAGTTATTACAGGTTTGCAAACAAGTTGTTACGAATCTGTTCACAAGTTGTGTTTGCACTGCTTGTTCTCTGTTGCTGTAACATTAGTTTGGAACACACTGTTATTTAACAACTTATAACAAGCTTGACCATATTTTAATATCAGACTTGTTCTAACAAGTCCGATACAGTCATGATATCGTAAGTACTATTTACAACATTCGCGGCCGTGTTGTATCGGATATACAAACTCGAGCCGAAGGCGAGAGTTTGTATATCCGATACAACACGAACTTACGTCAACAACTTAAAAAATGACTCATCTTATGAGTTCATTGGCGAAGTAATTTTAAAAATAAACGTTGTCTAAGCCGAGAAAATCAAAGTTAAAGTTTATGTAAATCAACATGAATCTGTATCACATATACAGATACGACACACTTATGATTTTTCTTTGTAACTTTCTAAATGAATTATTAATGAGTTTTTTAAGAATATTACAAGGTTGGCGACACAAGGTTGTAACAATACCGTTATATCATGACTATCAGACTTGTTGGAACACCCTATGTATCCTCCCGTACACCTAACTCCTCTAAAAGAGGATTGCGAAGCAGCTGTTTAGCGATAAAACAATAAATTACACAGCTAAAAACGCGATCAGGTTGTTCACTAATGGTTGTTGCAATATTGATGAAAACAGGATTGAACAATGTTGTTCACAGTTTGTTACACCTGATTCATGGGCAGCGAAACATTGCTTGTTCAATCCTGTTAAACAGCAGGCTCATAATTTACGTGTGTGATATATAAACATAAGTAAATAGATAAAAATAAATAATAAAATAAATATATATGTATATTGACTCCCCACCAACACAATTGCCCAAGTCGCCCCCTGCCATGTTAGACACCCTTGCAATAAGTCGGATAATATCAACAAGATTGTTACAACAGTTAACTAGTTGTTCCATGCATGCTTGTCAAAAATTGGGAAAAGCAGTGCGAACACAGCTTGTTGACGGCTTGTTGGTAGACTTGTCACAATTAAGATGTGAGATTTTTGCATTTTTATAACTCTCCTTTTTTCACATAGCCACGTCAGATGGATCGGCTGAAAGTTTAAATCATACAGAAGGTGGCCATTGCCAAACGCATCATATGAAACTACATATTTATGTTTGCAATGAGAATGGTATGACATAAATGTGTTGTATATTTGCAGTGTAGTTATATATACTTATTGAAATCAAGCTTGTGGTATTATATAACCATTTCTTCTAACTTTTGTTTGCTCTAGACACATGTAAATTCGAGATGCCAGAATGTCCAAAGGAGACAGAGCAAGGGAACAATCAAACCATGTCTACTTCTAGGCCTAATAATTGCAC